TTATCCACTAGTACTAGGCCTAACGTTAAACCTAAGCGAAGTTCATTCAGGCCACAATACTTTCTTTAGATCGGACATTCGGGAACTTTGCCCTCCCACAATACAATTTCCGCATAGTAACGGAGGCAAAGAAATAGCGCTACGAAGGGGGAAATTTCGTTCATTCTGTACAATTGCCCATTGTCTAGACTCGTATTCGTATGGACTGTTTGTGTTTGTGACGAACTTTTATTGCTCCAAACCTTCAAATATAGTGAAGAGTTGTTGGTATTCAATTACACCAATAATAAGTTGAAAATATCTGAGCTTTCCTTTTATCTTATACCCAGTCCTACAGCTCGCCTTAATAATAGTAAGCATGAAGCAAACATTTGTGGGATGAAATTCCTAAACTAAAATAGTCTTAAGACAATTTGTCGCTAATTGTTTTAAAAACTAGTTCGATCTGGTAGTTTACTTTTTACTGCATGTTTTCTCACAAAAACAAGCTATTGAAAAGGAGAGAAGAGTGTTGTGGCTGAAATCTATCAACCGCAGAACACAGGAAGCAATAGGAAAGCTGTGGGGGCCAAAGTCTGATTATAACCATGTGTGTTCAGCTCATTTTATGTAATGTAAATGTTGTCTTCCGATTTTTTTAAACACAAAATAATTGTACGTGTCTGGGTACTACACACTGAGCCATTCTGTTGGGTCGTTGATCCTCGAGTCGGCAGGGTGCTGGTAGGGACAATAATCAAGCCTAAATAATTGGAACTTTACTCGATATTTCGCTAATGTCTTGGCCGACAACTTCTCTACGTATTGGTAACACATTGTAATTGATAATTTACTGTACTTGCTTCGCTATTGTTTGCCCCTTTGTCAAGATGGCGATCACTTTACCAGGCAAAATCACATGACTGTGACGTCACGCCGACAAGGCCCAAGGTTAAATAAAAAAAAGTCTATTACGATAAGTTAATGTCTTTTCCATCACAGCCAAGTATTTTAGTAAAAAAAAACAAAAAACTACTGAATGAAATATTAATCATGATTATTTGTGAAGGATCCGTTGGTGATAATTCGAAATCATGTAACCCTGTACTGAGACTAGTTTCACGATTTTTTACCATTATAATTTATAGCCTATAATTTTTAAGTGTTTTTTGACTCTCGCTTGTTTGTCCTGTTACGTATCAAGCTATTTTTCTTTCTTTCTTTCATCAACGCAGTTTTTAATATCCCTATCATGCTCGTACGCAGATTTTTGAAAGGGGGGTTCTAATTTGTGAGGACAAAAGCCAACACATATTGTGCGAAGCACAATCATCATGTAAAGCATACTAATGCTACGGAGGTGTGGGGGCCTACCCCTAGAAAATTTGAAAACAATGGGTACTACGAGATTAAACCTGAATCAATTTTGAATGAAACATAGCTTAAACAATTGCATAGCTGTTCACATAAAATCCACAACGTCCAATGAAAAGTCAACATCATTCTGTTGTAACACTGTATGTTTTATTATATTAAAGTACTACTGTACTACCTAGAAGCACAGAAGTTATTAATTGTTAAATTATATCACTAATTTAACCCATTCGCTTCCAGCGTACTTGCCCGAGTACAGCTCTAAATTTGGCATTCCTGCACACACCGGATGTTTAGCAATACTGTAAATGATGTTTAACGCCTTTTCAGGCTCATTATTAACTTTCCACTCTAATGAACCGATTGTATGTTGTCACCATATTAAGAAATCTTGGAATTTTCCGACTAGTTTAAATTTTTCATCAAAATTCTGGGTAAGTATTCTGTTGTATGTTATACAGGTATCGACAGGTGTTTAGTTAACAACTGTAGATAAGCTACTGTAACACTACTTTTATATTTCATAAAATTAGTTGGCTTTTATGCGTGGTATAATAATGGTGTACTCAAGTGAGTACATTGGGACATTACATTAGCAAGTTTTATGCTAATATAGCTTGGTTTAGATTTCACGTGTTCATGCATTTTTTACGTTTCTTTACATTTGAGAAATTTATACAAAGGTTTTTTTTTATGGTAAAAAGTATCATTGGCTTCAAAATGCACTGGATGAGGCTGCCTCTACATCAAAAATTGATACTGACATTATTATTCCACCCGATGCGGATGAGCCAACAGATGAGGAGGAACATGATGTTGATGATGCTAAGACCTCAGTTATTTTCCTACAGATATTCTAGGTTATAACATGGTATCTAGCTATAAACTTGTACTGTAATTTCAATATTTCAGTTATATTACAATGGTTTTCCAACATTATCATATCTTGGAATTTATTCTGTAAAGTTGTCATTGATAATGTTCTATCATTCTCTAGGGCATGTGAAATGAATTTGAGTTCAGATAATGAAAGAAGGCTAAACTAAGCAAAAGGTTTTATCAAAGTGAAAAATAGTGACACCAGTTTATAACTATACAGACGGATGCAGAGAAATTGTTGTCAGGGAATTGAAAGAAGCCAGCCCTGTTGAAGCTTTTAAATGTTCATTAAATAGTGTGGTAATTCAGCACATAGTTGACCATACAAATTTACATGCTCAGCTAAAAAAACTTTAACAGCTTCAAAATATCTAGTGACGAACTGAAAAGCTTGTTGGGAATTATTTTCCTAAGTGGTTACCATAGTCTACCTTGTGAACGACTATACTGGTCTCTTGACGAAGATCCAGCAGTTACCTGTGTTTCAAAAAATACGTCTCGTAACAGATTTCAAGAAATTCTGTTAATCCTGCAGATAAGATGTATAAAAGATGATCTGCTAAATGCTAAGTTCAATATCATGGGGTATTTTCCAGAGAGATCTTTGGATGGATGAAGGCATGGTAAAATATTATGGCCGCCATCCTAGTAAGCAGTTTATTCGTGGAAAGCTCATTCGAGTTGGCTACAAAGATTGGATACTTTGTAGTTTTGATGGATATTG